GGACAAAAGCCTCGAGGCGATCTTGTCGGTCCTCAGGACGATATTCTGGCTTCTCTCGTGAAAAGAAGAAGCGAGGCCGCAGGATGAACTTTTTTTTCGTTATAATAGAGCCGTCGAAAGAGTTCACAGGAGGGGGAGGGGGGGAGGAGAATGTTGTGGACACAACAAGTGGCGCTATAACGAGCTTTATATAACGGCCGGTGTGTGTGTGTGTGCTGGCCGTGGTGTGCAAAAACGTGACTTTCTTTCGAGCGCGTGCCTGTGCGAGCTGACTCGCACCTTCTTGACTCGCGAAGAACCAGCCTTCGGCATTGTTTACCGTCGTCGTCGTCGAGCTTTACAGAGGGGAGGCTTGCGCCTCGCGGTAGTACCGGCGAGCCGGTAAATTGGGTTATCACTAAGGGGGGATCGCTAAGTATCAACAACTCTTTCGAGCAAGAAACCGTAAGAGCCTTTCAGCGATAATCCCGCCGCCATTAGCGCGCAAGCTCGCTCCTACCAGACTATCGGCGAGCAGAGACACCGCGGGGGCTTTTTCACCGCGTTCGGAATATGTTTCAAGATACCTCGGAGGCACAAATGGCGAGAAGCGAGAAGCGCTTCTTACGCCTTGTTCTGAAAGATAAGGCGACAAAAGCGCTCGCTGATCGAAGGCACGCGGCAAGGATGATAAAATTATCGAGCTTTACGAGATGATGGGTGTGTAACGCGTGAAATCACTTCACGAGTTATACACGTCGCGTAAGAGCTGGATTAAGCTTAAGTGTTGGCGGTGGAATCGCACAGAAAGCTCGATTGATGCACTTCTCCGACATAGCGAAAATTAAGATTCCCAGGATTTCCGGGAAAATATTAAGGACTTATTGACCCATTAGTGCTGTGCTTTCAGTGGCATCGAAGGGATCGCTCATAAATTAAGGATTTATCGGGCAAAATTACGTTCCTATAAAATTGTTTGACTATTTAAATAATAATAATAAATGCTAATTTGAAACGAAGTTGAGGTATTATTAGGAAACAGTTCGTGCGGATTCTTAGTTCACTTATTGAAAAACGACGAACTTTCGTTCCAACCCGATACATTAACTTCTTACTCGCTTATCCTTTTTAATTCTTCCAGTTACGTGGGAGTGGATAGCTTTCTATACAGTAAAAACCATTTTGCACTTGCGTTAAGATCGGTCCTTGTTAAAATTTTTGCGTTAAACCTTTAACACGTTCGTGTATTAATTTAACATATCGTGATATCGCGGTAACATTTACGGTATCTCAATATTTTGCGTTCGAGTCGATATTCAACGTGTGTAAGTATTAAAGTTACACTTCTAAGTTTTAAAATAACACAATTTACACTTCAACGTGGACTAACGCATTATGAATATTAATTTTGTCAAATGCAATAAAAATATTAACTTTTTTGTTAATTGCCAAGGCATAATATTTGTGTCACTTTTCAACATGTTCATCTTGCGTTGAATTAACACAAAAATTTGCGTGTGGATTGTTTGACACATGTGAAGTGTGTTAAATTTAACGCAAAACTCTAATGCAGAAATATTCAAAAGTAATGCGCCTTGTTGGAGATTTTCAAATGTTACTATGCCCAGGGGCAACAATGGAGTCTTCTGTGCAATGAGAAACACGAATAGTACACAATTGCGTCGAAATAAATTAATATTTCCATGTAGTGTCTCTATGAGGATCACAATGATACGCGCACGCGAATTTGTAAAATCTGACGCGCAAATTTTGATTTATTAACACGCTCACGAACAGGATTTGTTCTTGGGAGACTCCCTACAGACTGCTTCGTATTTCTTTTTTTATATAACTGCGTAAAACAGACTTAGTTTGTTCATGTAGCATAGGAAGAAAAATTATTACTGTCACACACGTGCGACACTGGTAACGTTCATGCTAATCGATGAATGGCGACATAATTTTATACAAACGTGTTATATTCGCGCCAGTAACGAGTTATTCGGCCGTGTATTATTTAGTGAGTCGAAATAGTAATTTCCGGTATAATTTATCAAGCCGAATTTATCGAATGTATCAACGACGAAGTCGTAATTTTGGTCCGACATTAATCGTGCGGATTCTGTAGAAGGATTTGAAAGACCAATGAAAAATATCAAAATATAAAAGTAACGAAATAACATTATGAAGGATGTGGTCTCATCTATGATGTTACAAATATGGCTTGTTCCGTGTTGAAATGTAAAGAAACACTTATTTGAAAAAATTATTTCAAAAATAAAAGATTATTTAATATTTGATTATCTTAATATTTTCTATTTGCATTTAACTTTTATTCTTAATTTCAATGAGTTATATTTTAATTATGTAACTTATATAATCAGAGTTGTAAAGTCAAAGATATAGTCATTTTATAGACGTCAATACTTAAGTTTAACTTAATGTTTCAATTATTGGGACACATTCAATTGGAACGTTTACCTTATCACGAATAAGACATATCACAGCCGATTTCTGTCGCAGGTTACGTCTCTAAATGTCCAAACGAAAAGAAAGTATTACTTCCCGATCGGTAAAAAAAAACCCACTGCGAAGTGAGCTTTATTTTCTGACCAAACTGGCATCTGAAATGACTCCAGGTGACTATTCCCGGGTTAACCTGTCTGTTATTAAACGATTTTCAAATGTATAAGTTAGCACTCCAACTCTAGAATTCGATAATTTGATCAGTATCCAGAATACTATCTGAGATGAAGAATATATTTTTTATCAGTACACGGTAGAAAATTTTGCGTTAAATTTAACGGATTTCACGTGTCTCAAAATTTCCACTGAAATTTTCGTATTAATTTAAGGTAAATACATTCAGAAGTAACACAAATAATATATTTAAAAAAATATAAAAAATATAAAGAGAATTAATAGATGACAATTATATTACCAAGAAAAAATAACTCTAAAACATATACGAGTATATGTTACTCTTTTCGTTTCTGACGTTGGGACAAACGAATGGAAATAATCATCATTCAATTCGAAAACGCGAAAAGTGCTACTCTCACGAGTCAGTTTACGACGCATATATTAGAGATGAGTGATTTATTATTTAATGTGGTACGTGAGCACACATGTGCCACAAGATCGCAAAACTCGCAAGTACACACACACACACACACACACACACACACACACACACACACACACACACACACACACACAGACACAGAGGCAACGCAAACAAAATCATAAAATAATTCCGAAGAGGAGGCTGATAGTTATTTCGTTTAAGCGAAGTTGCTCATTTAAACTATATATTTTCTCTCTCTCTCTCTCTCTCTCTCTCTCTCTCACTGTCGCGCAGAGAGAAAATATTTTTACGTATATACCGACGAATGTGTACATTTGTACATTAACGCTCTGAAAGTTGCATTTCAATTAAACGCGAACGGAAAACGGACAATTTAATTAAATCGCTAGCACCGTCGGCTGTTGTTTTGATACGCGATATGCCATTGCGAGATATAGAGCAGGAGATAATTTCTAGCAGGATGCATCCAGAACGGATGCATCTTTCTGCGAAAAAACAAAAATATTTGTACGAGAGGAGAAAAGGAAGGTTTCGAGGGGAGCACTGGTTAACATTTAGAAGCACGGTGGGAAATATACTTCCTACCTTTTTCCTTTCAGATTATTGTCGATAAAATTTTCACTGCTACATTTAGACTGTTTTTTTTTTATTTATTGTTCCAGTATCTTAGGAACAGATGAATGTAAAAAAAATCGTCAAAATATACATTTTTTTAACTGCAAAAATGTTATAAATAACTAAATTAAGAGGAATGCCTGCTTTTTCAGAGAAAATACATTTTCCAGCGACTATTCTAAAATTTAGATGTTAAAACTTATATATAGGGTATTTCGAGATCGTTGATTACTGACTACAGACTTAATCTGTAGTCAAAATTGAAAAATTACAAAATTCGAAATATTGAATACAAAATAGTGGATTAAATGTGCAAAAATTCAGTGTCCATGGCTTTCAAAGCTTTCGAGTACAAATTATGAAATGCGATATTGTGGAAACGGATTAGAAAGATTGAAATGGAATATTTGTCTATAGCATAGACAAAATCTTGCTTATACAGGATTTCTAAATAAAAAATTCACAGATTATTCATGAATACCAAATTTGAAGTGATTTTCTTAATTCGCTGCAATTTCGGTCATCAATATTGTTTAAAAAATGTTTCAATTATGACCTCGTGATCAGCGAGCCCAAAAACCCCCGGGTACCAAATTTGATGAAGAACAAGCGGGAGGAAAAATGTGTGCTTCAAAGGGTTGAAAACTACGAACGATGTGAATCATCTCCGCTTATTCCAAGGGTAGGAGGAGACTGTGAGGGGCGTAGGGGCGCCTGGCTGCCAATTAAAGTTAGGCCAGATATCGACGGGTGCTCCATAAATAAGCTTTTTTTTTTTATGTCGAATGGATGACGGCGATTACTTTCGGCACTTTATCGGACATGTTGTCGGGCGGTATGCGGCCGTCGGACCGACAAATCCGTTCGAAAAATGACATTTGAATTATTCACATTCGACCTACACACACACACACACACACACACAACATGCACACGTGTGTGCTCACGCANGGAAAGAACGAAAATATTCCGGGGGCAAATGGGGCTCGTCATGTTGAGCGGTTTATATTGCCGACGAATGCGAATATCGTATGTAACGTCATAAAGAAAAATTGTATTTCAATTTTTTTTCCAACGGAAATTGAAAAGCAAGTGATGTATGCGTGTTACGCAAAATGCTTCTAATAATATTACGCCGTGGTAATACAGTGATGCGTAACAACTAATACTTCGTATTCGTCTCGCGGATATTTCCCTCCGTTATACGCCGTTATGTAGTTTGAAATATTTCAAAATGATGCAAAGGGAAAAATTCGTTGCAACAAAAATTCAATACACACACACACATACACACACACACACACACACACGCACGTACCTGTTTCCAGCTCCGTCTAAACATGGCCCAAGTATTCACCTGCAATATAAAAAAATATTTTATCGATCAGAGAAAACAGAGAGATAGACAGATAGATAGATAGATAGATAGATAAATAGAGAGATAGAGAGAGAGATATATATTATTCGGAATATGCGTTATCAGAATATAAACCGCGACATTATGAAACAGCAATCTTGCATTATAACTTTCGAGATTTACGTGCTTATACGTTGAAACGTCTCAAGGTAGTTTGTCCGTAACAATACTGTTAGAAAGGTTACGGTTGATGCGGTATAAAGTTGCTGGACAAATCTGTGCTTAATACTTGTAAATATGATTTATGATATACAGCTTTAGCGCTATAGCGAGAGAATATCAATTAAGCTCACATAATGCTTCAAGATCAACAAAGAAATAATCGTTTTCCGCACTTTGACGTACACTTTAATAATTTTGAGACTACCCGAGTCAAACATATATATTTATAAATACAAGGTGGCTCGCGTAAAGTGTTAGAACCTCAAAAACTGTAAAAATAATTGTTGTATCAAAAAGTTGTTTGTGAGAAAGTTTCATATATTCGAGGGGTCTTTCTATTAGTTTGGTAAGAAAGTGATGTGGTTTTTTTGAGGAAATTTCAATTTCTTATATTTAAGCTCATAAGTGAGATTAATTAATGAAATATTGACCACTGTTTTCTATGACTTTCCTCCATCTGTTAACAAGGTCATTTATGCCAGATGTATAAAAGTTCCTATCTTTTGAAGCCAGGAAATCTACCACTGCCCTCTGAACATCCTGAAAGTTTCGAAATTTTTTTCTTTTAAGAAAATTTTGCATCGCGAGGAACAAGTGATAGTCAGATGGTGCCAGGTAAGGTGAGTATGGTGAATGTGATAAAACTTCATAACCAAGAGCCTGGAGCTTCTCCTTCGTCCTTAAAGCCACGTGAGGCCTGGCATTGTCATCTCGGAAGACAACACCTTTTCGGTTATACATCGGTCATTTTCAAGAAAAAATAAATCGGACGAAAGTTATGGAAGTTCCAAGTTCTGAAAAATACGCTCCGATAGAAACGTTTGCGAGAAATTAATAAGTGCAAACTTAAAAAAAAACCATCGATCAAATTACAAGCGAATTATGTTGGAAAATAATTAAAAAAAAGAAAAAAAAAAAGAATCGATCGAAAATATTAAGGGAGTGCAGAGAAAAAGGAACGCAAACGTGAACATCCTTACACGGGGTCCTTACGGCGGCAAGTAGCCGCTCTCTTTACATATTTTCGCGTATTATCTCGTGAAGCATTCGCTGAAATTTTGGGACACATTGTGGTGCAACGTTGCGAGGTGCGAATATTTAGCGGAAGGTCGGCGGATATCTCGGAACAAGGAATATTGAGGTGTATCATCCTCGTAAATACGGCGGGCAAACGCCATTTCGTTTTACATGCAAATCGCAATCCCGACGCCTGCAAAATGCAAGCTACCGCCGCCACGGCGCCGTATATAGCGTGTGCCGGTCTGTGAAAAAACTCCGCCTTTCTCCCCCCCAACCCCCTCCTTCCCATTTTCCCTTCGGCTATTATCATCGAAAACCGGATTCGGGCGGACTTTGGCGACTTTTAGCCAGGAATTTATTATAATCGCATTCCGAACGTCTTAGGGCTCAACGGTTGCAAAGTACCTGTTCCGGAGGAGGAGGGAGTTGATTGAAACTCCGGGGAATATCCCCCCCCCCTCCCACACACACCGAGAGGGAAACTTCGGCAGCCAATCGTCGCAGATAAATCGGATTTCGCAGTTAACGATTCCCTTAATTACCCATCCGCCGCCTCTCGTAGTCTGCCGCGTTTCTCGTGATAAAGAGCAGCGAAGTTTCTTCTCACTGCCGGCGCGATATCTATCTATTCTTTGTTATTAAAATAGCACTTTGGCAAATTCCGCGACGTCCCGCGACTTTTGCCTCGAGCGATCACGACGAAACGATATCGTTGCTTCCCACGTTTCACGCACCGTCGATGTATTTCCCGCTGTTCACCGAAGATTCGTATTCGTAATTAAGCGATAACGAATAAATTGGGCTCTCAAATCGAAAATCTTACTGAATACAAAATAAATGGGCCTATGAGAGCGATGGGAATACGTAAGCAAGCTAAGAAGACGATACGTAAGTTATTTGTATCTTGCAGAATCACAATTATGCGCGATGAGAAAAATGTCCGATCACGTCTGATCGGATCGAATCCAATTAAAAAGTAACGAACATCCGATCAAGTGTGACGTCCGGCCAAGTCGTGTTTCTATACGGATGAAAATTATAACGAACGTACGAAAGGCGATTAATTTCACGATTAGGTTTCATCGATAACTTGATCGGTAACTTAATGATTGAAAAATATCCGTTACTTGGATCGGATAATAAAAATAACAATCGGATACATCATTTAATAGGTTTGTGAGATGGAAATTTTTCTCAGTGCATTTATAGACGCGTTTCAGTCCTTTCTTGGATTATTTTCAATTTATTTCTCGACTTCTGAATTTCTGATTTTAAATATTAACTTCTTCGATTCGTGATTTCTAATTACCTGCAAATTTTCGCGTTCGATCATCAGGACAAGATATTTTGACTCTGTGATAATTTTGTCCTACTTCCGTTGTTTTTCGCTGTAGCTCTTTGTTACATCGCATGTTGTTGTCAACATCAAATTGTTCTCGTACATTACTGATCATATTCGCCAAGTGACTTTATCCACCTGTGCGTTCAACGTTTTACAATCTGGCGGGAGACTCTGATTATTGCCGAATTGTGTTACCTTTTAACCCGACCCGTGGGTCGTATATTATTGGAAGCACTTCGCAGCAGACATCTAAAAACCGATTATGCCTGCTAATAAATATTGCCAATTATCATAAATGTAGTTCCGTAAGTTTGCGTTAATTTATTACCAAAAACTCCGGGTATTAAATTTGACGAAAAATAAGCGGGAGGAAGAATGTGTGTTTCAAAGGGTTAAAGAAAATGTTCGAAACATAGAAAAGCAAGGTTCTCAGCGCGTTGTCTCAGGGAGCATTCGCGAAACGTTCTTCTTAAAATGTAAATCTGCCTTTTCAAAGCTTTGTGCACGTACGTTGCAGATGACATGGATAAAACTACTGTGTATTTAGTACTCGCCGTTGGTACCGTGGATTGAGAAACATTATGAGCCGCGGCTATTCTCCTTGTGCTTATTACTGGAGATACAGCAACTTCATCGAGGATTTCCTCCTCAACCCTCATAGACGTCCTTCCTGGCCGCCCGCATCGTGCGCTTGCAACTTAAACGCACCGCTTCTTCTCGGAGCCGTCTATCAACGGAAGAAAACATTCTACCATCCGGAATTCCGCGTTGCGGAAAGTGTTCTTGGTACGACCGACGTACTTCACGTTCATTTCCGTTAGCACGGTCCATACGTCAAATAGATGTCGGCCATTTCAACCTAAGTATATATTTACCATTGCCTTTCGGAACGGTAATGAACTCGCAATAATAAGATACTGATTGTCTGAAATTCTATCTGATTCCATATCGATGGATATTGTTTGCGAACGTTAGGTAAGGTCAGGACGTATTAAGGAGTGCAGTAAGCGTGTGTTGACGCGCGACCTTGAGTATCTTTTTAACCATCCGTAACTCAAAAACTAAGGCTTGTAGGACACGTGACGTATTTTACTTATTTTAGTACGTGATTCCCCTGAAATATGGACGTACATTTATGAATTAACCTGTATGTATATGTGCATATATTGTCACAAATGGAGACACTAATAGGGACATTCACCTTAGTTCTACTGTGCACTTGGTTCTACACACGTTTATGAGAAGAGCAGACAGATGAGATATTTGTTGTGTCATGACACAGATAATAGTTTCTGAGCAGCGATGTGCAATCGTAATCGCGTCGTTTGTGTGATTCCTAAATTTCTCACACTGCCTTGATATTGGCACAACGTTAACACGTTGACTGCCAATTACGAGATATCTCGTAAGTTGTTTACTTGCCCGGGACGCCAACTACGAGTTATCTCGTCGCTTCATTACTTGATTAAATCAAATTGGCTTCTTAGACCAGAATCGTGAAAAGTTCCGTGGCAGTCAACGTGTTAAAAGTATGTCCTAGCCGGGCAAGCCTACTGACGTTAGGTCTCCCCATTTCTTCGACGAGTTTCTCAATATATTTGGTATCCAATAGGAGAAAGTATCTCCTGAGAATCACAAAAAATAAAATTCTCCCATTGTACACTAGATGCGTTCGGAAACTTATGAAAAAAAAATATGTTGCAACCTTTACGTGTAGTTGTGACCATATTTTCTTGGCTCACGAATGTTTCTATCTCCGAGGGGAATTCTTTGCGTGTAATTAATACGTGGAAAATGACCCGAAACGTGTGTCCGTGAATCCACAATAGTGATTCTACAAGTGAATAATTTTTGCATCGTCCTTCCTACTTCCAGCGCTTTGCTCTCGGAGGCCTATTTGTTTTTGCATTTAACGGATCTTAATTACTCTTAATTACGTGTTTTCGCAACGCTGAAGATCGAGGATTTACTATTCTCTCTCTCTCCTTCGCACGCAACAGTGCTTATCGCACGGTGGGGAGTGTTGGCGCGCGATATATTATGAATGAGAAAAGCAGTTCTCTCTCCGCCTTTACACAATCCGGCTCTCCGGGCGAATACTCGCCCCGGGCTCTTAGTATGTTACTCGCTCATTGTGCGCATGCCGGAAAATAGGTTGGACTTAAATAGCGAGTTCCTCGCTGCCTCCTCCTCCTCCTCCTTCCTCTTCCTTCTGGCAGCCTGGCGTGCGGATTTTTAAATCTCTATATACTTCAGTTCACGAACGCGCCAGCCGACGCACCGGAATGTCGTCCTCGTCTTTTCACAGCGGCGAGGAATATATCCGAAATAGTTGACACACACACACACACACATATACACAGTGTGTGCCTCATCGTAATTGCTACGCGCGGAAATTCGCCGTTTCTACATAATG